AAGAAGTCAATATATTTAGCCAATGTTACAGAATATTAAATACTTACTGGTACTATAGGTTGTATTATAAACCCACTATCTGTCTTTGCAAATCATGTATAATGGGAATATTCTAATAATGGCTAAAGTCATGACACAAAAGGAGACAAACATGACCCTAGACTAGTGACATTACTTTCCCAATTTTCAAAAAGTATTAGAAAAGTGTTTGTAATTAAACTGGAATGATATGAAGAAAATCAGACGCCAGTTTGTCTCTCAATAGCAATTAATTAAAATGATTATACCGTAAAAGTATTTGAGGATTTAAAACATGTTGGACACTATACTATTCTCCAACTGTATATGGACTCAGAGGAGCAGTCTTGATTGGCTAGCTACTTACAGAAATACATATCATTTGGCTGAGATGAAAATGGGATTCCTCAAGGTTCAATTGTTGGACCTTTATACTTTATTTTATTTAGTACTGATATATGTGAAGTGTTGTTCAATTTATTGGTTGAAAATAAATGTAGTAATAGTCAGAATAAAGGGTGTAAGGGCTCTTTCTTGTTGGTCCTGGGTCAGAGGTCAGAGGGTGTATGGCTCTCGTCTCTCCTATTGATCTTGGGGTCAGAGGGTGTGGTCTCTCTCTTGTTGATCTTGGGTCAGAGGCCAGAGGGAGTATAGCCCTAGCCTCTCTCTGGTTGATCCTGGGTCAGAGGCCAGAGGGAGTATAGCCCTAGTCTCTCTCTGGTTGATCCTGGGTCAGAGGCCAGAGGGAGAATAGCCCTAGCCTCTCGCTGGTTGATCCTGGGTGAGAGGCCAGAGGGAGAATAGCCCTAGTCTCTTTCTGGTTGATCCGGGGTCAGAAGCCAGAGGGAGAATAGCCCTAGTCTCTATCTGGTTGATCCTCGGGAGACCATCTGTGCTGGGGGCATTGATTAGAGTGTTTCTGCTGGGATTACGTTTCCCCCCGTTGCCATGACAACTAATCAGCTGGTTCTCTCTGTAGCTGCCCCCACTCGCTGGCCATGTGACTTCCCCTTTCCTCTCTCCATCCTTTAAACCTTCCTTTCGTAGAGTATCCCCCTTCACTCTGGCTCCCTCCGTATCTACAGCCCGTCAAATATAGGATTTAAAGAAGAAATATCTTCTTTATATATTAATATGCATTAATTCTGGCTCTTGCAGTTACAGGGTACATAACTAACATGCACTCACCATCTTATTAGCAAACATGATATATTAAAGTAGGATCCCTGTGAGGCACTATATGACGCTTTGGGCTGAGGGCTGAGGGTGGTCCTTTCTTTTTCACGTTTCAGTCTGAAAAGAAGCCCAAAAAAATGCATGTGATAACCAAGCTGTTTTTGAGAGTGAGAAACTACTTACATGGGCTTTATTACATAGATCCATTTCTCTGAGGTTTGTAAGTTAGGTTCCTCAGATTCAAGCACAATAATGAGACTATTTGAGGGGACTTTAATTTATGGAGGCGACTAAATGATCCATTTTGATCATCTATAACCTCGGTGGAACACATGTGAAATGTTTAGACACTATGTTATAGAAGGTGAATCGAGTAGCTCCACCTTAGGTCCTCCTGTCCTCCTGTTCCATCCACAAATTGACAATGCAATCTTGTTTTTTCTTTGAGAAAAAGGGCTGGGGTGGGTAAATCCTTCACATGGTTTCAGAAAAGAAAATTGCCAAAGAGAGTAACCAAAACCTGGGCGAGGGGCTCGATGATGGTCAGAGGAATGAGGGGAGAGAAATGGAGCTGTGTGTATCTGCTTGAATTAGGCTAAATGTATGTTTTCTGGCAAAGTATGTGTGCAAAAAGGTCATAGGTTTTAATCCTGTGTCGTCCCAGGTCGTTCCGTGTTGAGTTCTCTGTGTATGGGCAGGTTTCCTCTGGGCACTCCGGTTTCCCCCACCACCCAAAACATGTACCAAAGATATAATTCTCCCGTTCCAGTCCCGACCAAGAGCATCATCTGGATTGTTCCCCTGGACTCTCCACTGAGACCGCTGCTCCTGACAGGTTTACTGAGTGACATTGAAGGATGGGTCAAATGCAGAGCACCACGTGGGGGACAGTAAAATAGTCGATGACCTTATCTGTCTGTAAAAAGAGTTGCCAGTGGGTTTATTTAAAACGACAAGAAAAATCTTCTTTGGAATGAGCAAAAAATGTGCAACTACACTTGAAATCAGACTAAACTGCGTGTCCCATTGGATAATCTTGTTCATGAAAACCACTTGCTTCAAACATGTATAACTTTATATTTGTATAATCTAATGTATAACAATATGGACCAAAAGTATCATCCTTAAAATATAGAGATTTTAGACACGCTTCCTTCTTATACTTGCTTCTTTATTATAGTAAAGTTAGAGATATTTTTTATAGTATAGAGTCTTGTGTGCTCCTCATTCCTTCTGTTCTGTAACTGGTGATGCAACACTGACATTTCCCCACAGTGGCACAAACAAAGGATTTTGATCTCTTAATGTTCATAAATGCTTTAATACACATGTCTAAGTTCAACTCAGTACAGCTCCTTTAAGCAGCTGGGAAAAAACACAAATCCATCAGACTGGAGACCAAAAGCCTCCTACCTCTGTTATAGTCTCGCTCTCTCCTTCACGTTCCCCCTCCTCCTTTCTCCCTTTTCTCTATCTCTTTTCACTTCATTTCCGTTGTCATAGCAACCAAATAAAGCCCGGGCGAGCTCCGGCTTCAGCTAAAAGGACCAATAGGAAAAATGCAATGTGTTTTTTTTTTTTTTTTCCTAATTGGCAACTCTGCCTCTCTTCTCTCTCTGACCTAAAGTTCTTTTGTGTGCGGCGTAAACACGAGCCTCTCCACATTACATTTATTTTCACATTTTCCCAACGAGCTGGAATGGCGCATGCACGGGCCCAAGGACAGGTGCAGTAAGATGTAAATATTGTCCGTGCAATAGTCCTTGAAACATTCCAGACTGGGGGGGGGGTTTCTTTTATTTTTGGTTTTCTTCTAGGGCTCCGCAATCTATGAAAAATATATAAATATATCCCCCATGTTGATGGACCTTGATTTTAAAAATATTTTGTCCAATAATTTAATCTAAAAGAAACCACGGCATGACAAAAACAACCAAAACAAAAATGAAAACTAAACATGTCACCAACATATTTAAGCTAATCACAGAGACGAAGACAAATGCTTTTGCTCCTCATCGCCTTTCACTGTTACTCTGTTACTCATTATTACTCTGTTACTCCCACATTATTGGTGTCTTTAGATTTTTAGCACAGTTCATATGTTTTCATTTGCCATCTATTTTTCTAAATGTGTGGTTTTAATGTTTATGTAAAGAACTCCATTTCAGTGTTCAACTGCACTTTTAACATATAGGAAGGGCAATAAATCAAATATAGGCAATTAATCGGCTTTTGAAAAAATCTCATTTGTGAAAATTGTGAATTTGAATGAAGGATATGGTCAGAGTTCCAGCAGCACATGAATTATACTTTCAATATCAGCACAGTCTGTACAAGACTTTATAATACATATTGGGGGAAACAAATTAAAAATATTTTTGAAACTTGAAACGAAATCGTCCAAAGCAGGAAATAAAATAAAGATTTTACTTTTTTGCCATATCGCCCAGCCCTACATGTGCTAATGCTATATAACTAAATAGAGCTATCATTATAAATATTATAGTCACTTATAAGTTACTAAGTTAGGAGTCCCAAACATTTTTTCATTTGTTGTTTGTCCCAACAAAAAAGTCATATAAAATAAAAATGTTCAGACCTCAACAAGCTGCCTTCATCTTATTGGAAAACATGCATAAATAAATCATATTTCTATTGCATACAAATGTAAAGTATTTACTGCAATGTCACATATGGATAATGTTCAGCCTGAACACAAGTCATTTAGAATAATATCTGGAATATAATGTATCTAACACTGTATTTTGTTCTTTAGCTTTCTTTCAATGCCAATCTAAAAATTATACAGATTCAACATGGAGAAAATATTTATTAATTATGTACGGCAACACAATGTATTTTTGCAAAAAATGTTGTGGCTCTTTCTCTCTGACCAGTTTTCCGCCCCTACACTCTTCCATGTTTTGGCCTGAGAACTTTTTACTTTTCTGCCTGAAAACAAAAGATTGAATCAAAAGATATTACAGAGGCCTGAAATACATGAATGGCAACAGAACCAGAGTTTGTTCCATTGTCCCATTGTTGTGGTTTCAAAGTTAGGTTCCCCAGCTTTAATTGTATTCCTGTTGTCTCCCCATCCCTTTCTCACACACGCACATGTGTTTTGACTGGAGCCTTCCCCAGAGCAGACCCACAATCACACATAATCCTTTTCCATCAGTGGGGACCAGCACATGTCATGTCAGAACAATATTTTCACAAAGAACATGTGACGAGGTTCCAGCGAGAGCCGGAGTAAACACTTTGCTGTGTACAGGTGTAAAGAAAAGAGCATGGACTGCAAGACCTGTGAGCATTAAACCCAATTCCTGACCCACTCAACCTGCAACTCTGCCCATTCACATAGATTCTAGATTAGTATAATGTCCTAAGATTCATTTTCAAAGGAAATCCATTATAATCAAATGATTAGGAGTACATCTCCTTACATGGAACTGAAATTTCTGATCCAAACAGCCAATAATGGATAATCATAACAATGTAAAGGCGTGCCCAGACGTTTTCATACCTCTGCACCTGTATAATCTATTCTATTTACAAGGAGGATGTAACAGTTTGTGACCAGAAACAGCTAACAGCAGATAATGTGCTTCAACAGGTCAGATGTGAACGGGGCTCGTCTCTGAATATTTGAGAATTTTGCACTTTTTCTTGGTTTTCTGTGCTGCGGTCCGAAACACATTGATGAACACTGGCCACATCACATCTATGCCTCACAACACAACACAACACTACACACAACCTGCAGCACAGTGGTGTGATGTGGTGCTTTGTCCTGTGTGCAGGTGTGCACAGAGGGACGGTTGATAGTGGAGTTTGCCTTCGACGATCTGATGAGGATCAAGACGTGGCACTTTACCATCAGACAGTATCGAGAACTCATCCCCCGCAGCATCCTGGCCATGCACGTGAGTGACATCACCAACACGCCACGCCCACTCACAAGAGCTTGTGTTCATGTTCTAGAATCCGATTTTAGTAATTCAGCAGGTGTTGCTACAACTCTATGGGAAAGAAGCTATTTTTGAAAAGAAATTATTCACAAAGACATATTATCTGGAAAATCAACTGGCCGCCATTATGCATAGGATTTTGAAGATTGCCACAGCCTCTAGATGCATTTGGACAATTATGAGAGAATAATTTGACTAAAGTTGACAAATAAAATGTTTTGTTTCATGAATGGGGCCAGGCATTACACACAACACTTCATATCCATATTAAAAGGAAAGATGTTTTCACTGCCCTCCACCACTTGTTTAAACTAATGATCATTGAAATAATGTGATGTCACATGAACACAAACTATTAGAGCCATGTTCTTCATTATTCTGTCAATGTTTCTCGTAGCTGATGTTGCACGCTCAGAAAAACAGTAAATAGCGGGGGTTCCAAAGTCCCAGAAGTCGTATGAACCGTACACGCTCTGCCATATTTTGTTAATTGTGTTTTGTTTTGTTTTGTTTTTGTTTTCTTACTTTGACCCTAAGGATAATTGGAGGGTCTGTTTCTTTTTTGCCATTTTAGGTCTTTTTTCTTCAGTCCTCAGTAGGTTGTGTTTTCTGTCAATAAATACATTCTGGGTGCAAAGTACACATCTACAAGAACACAAAATTCAATGAATAGAATCTTAAAAGACATTTTGGCTCAGTGTACCTGCTCATGCTCAATGCTGTGTTACTATGGTGACTGAAGTTTGAGATGCAGTGTAAACAGTGCTATACCACGGTCAGTGAGGATTCCAATGCAAACTACCGTCGATTTATAGAATCTTCCCAGACCGTTTAAAGGTCTATAACTTAGTGCTCAGCTTTATGACAAATGTAACATTTCTGCTTCTCTGGCCCTTAAAGAGTTAAAGTTTAAGGGTCCATTTTGACCTCTGCGATATCATATTTCTCTATTAAAGGAGCAATATGTGATATTTGCATGTCAAGTCATCATTAAATAACCCGAATATTTCAAAAGGCATTAATAAATCATGCTCTTTTCAAACACATCTTTAACTGATAACAGTAGTTCATCCGAGATATTTGAATATCAAAATTAGTTTTACGACCCGTAAAAGTTGTTATTGTTTTGATTTTGATGTCCTACCCTCCGCCGTTTCGCCAATCAGGAAGTGTCATGTAAGTCCGTGATCGGGTTGCCAGAACTCCGTGCGGCTCATTAATCTCAGAGGTAAAATAACATGTGGCGCAGAACTAAAAAAGGTCTTGTTATGACTCTCAAATCATTAATGACAAAACAAAGACTAAAACGAGGATTTATATCGGGACGCCTTTGAACAATTGAGACAGCTGATAAAAGTTTACGTGTGATGCAGAATTTGCTAGTTTGAGTCCGTTCTTCACAGTGACTCTAACTGTGAATCGGTGGTCTAGTGGTCTAAACTGTGCGCTTACGATGCAGGAACCCGTGTTCAATTCCGGGCTATGTCTTTTTGTATTTATTGCATGTTATCACATTCTATGACAGATTGCTCTAAAAACGGTAAAAGACGAAGGTCAAGACGTTTTTTTGCAGATTATAGCTTAATTGTAAAAATAATCATTTAAGACCACATGTACCCCAATTAAAATAATGTTAGTCTCTTTTTGATGTGGAACTTTTACATGTTTGTCTAAAAAATAGGGAATAAATAAAATTGAAAGGTGATATCCTCTTGAGCAAACCCTGATGTTGATACGCTGAAGAAATACGTTCCAACATCCATTCTTCCCACTCCTATTTTGGACATCAATTGCTTATTTATTTTGCATAATCAATGTATAATTAAACTGCTTTTATTTTGTTTTTGTTTTTTATCTCAAATGTCCAAATAATAATAATAAAAAAACATGAATCAAAACATTCATTCAGCATTAGCACGGCTGTCATGGCAATGTGAATGGAGACGGACAAACAACTGATAAAATAATTCCCTGTGTTTGCTGCTGGATTTGGTGTGAATCTGGCAACCTGAGTCAGGGAGAGTGGGAGAGGACTACAAAATATTGACTGTGACTGCAGTACCACTTTTGGCCAGATTTTTACATATTGTTCCTTTAACAAACACAAAACGTTCATTTTCTAAATGTCCTGAATGCAAATGTCATCCTTTGAATCTCCAAAACTTCACAGACAGCAAAAAAATAACAATTGGACCAGATTCAGGTCTTTTGTATGACTCATATTATGAGTCGTCCAGAATCATATAGAAAGAATGTAATAAAGCTTTAATAAAAGTTTTTAACCCTAAACATATGGATTTCTTTTAGGTAAAGTCATATTACGTACAGTATGCGATCATATCATGGTGAGTCCAGAGCCGAGGCTCCGGCTAACGAGGGTCCCCGCACTCTGCATGCCCACTTTACGAGCCATTCATGAGCGTATGAAATTTAAACGCCAACAAAGCAGTCTGGAGGGATTTCTGCAAACCAATTTATTTTCCCAACTTCAAAGGCCACCCAGGATAAAAATGAACAGGCCCTCATCTGAAAAAAGACCCGCAAAAAACAAGGTCGCATGAATAATCTGATTAATTCCACTAAGTGTACAGTGGATGAACCGTGGGGTCTGGGAGCGCGGCCGGCTCCACTCCAGGGAGCGACTTTGTGGAAGGAAGAAAGCAGCTGGTTTAACGTGGAGCAACTGCCTTCACATGTGGCTAGGGCTGGTATTTTTCTGTATTTTTATTGGCCCCTAACATTATTTTCAATTATTATTATTGACTTGCTGGTTGATGGTTATCTGCTACCCTCAACCATGTACATGTCTCCTGTGTGAGATCGATAAAGTCTATCTTATCTAATCTTACATCATCTATGTTCTATCAGGAGAACAATCACATTTTTGTATTATAAAATTCTAACCATGTGTTGAACTTTATATTTGGTCCAGCTTTGGTCAAATCTAAACAATTAACACATTTTGTTTTCAGAAAAATCAACCAGAAAACAATACAGAAGTTTGTGTAGCATTCATTGAGCCGGAGAGCCTTCATATGGAAATGTTTTTTTGGAAAATATATTATATTTTTTAAAGTTCTACGTGTGAATGTGAAAGGTTCTACGTTTGGCTCCAATCATTTGATAGAAACACTCAAATGTGGCCTTTTTTGGTTCCTTTCTTTTATGACAGTTAAAGTAACTCTTATTTCAAGTTTCTGGTCCTGGACTGGTTCTGGTTCAGTGTGGTTTACCGTTTACTGTCAGCAGTTAGCCTTAGCCTTTCAACACACTGTTTTTCAAGTTATATTCACCAGTTTTGTTTATCGTGAGTAAATGTAAAAGACATATAAATTACTACATACTTTTAAACTGGTGGATAAACTTTTTGGGGAATTTCTCAGAATTCCATTGGTTTGAATAGGAGCAGTCAAAATGACAACTCTGGGACTTCTTGTAGTTACACGATTGAGTCCTAGTGTTACTAATGTCCACATCAGTCAAGTTAAGTTTGCTTTATTGTCCCTGCAGGGTTTTGCGTCCTCTGCATTTGACCCACACTGCGATGCCACCACGGCTTTCGTCAGGATTGAGTTTTTTTAAGTGTTGGATTCACAGACTTGGATGAAAAAACCCAATTCTCTGTCCGTCCAAAATCTTCATATGAATTTCATTGGCCCATAAATTGGCCCCTGTGGGTATTGGCTAATTCCTTGAGAGATGGGGAGATATAGAGAGACAGAGCTGGGCATTGTGGAGAAGATGTGTCCTGATTTGAGCGAGCATGCTTGGCTCTTTTGATCATTTTCACAGCTAATGAAAGCGTGTGGGAAGGCACAGGGGAGAGATCTTGCATAGGAGAGCCCAGTTTGAAGTGTGCTAGCTGGACTATAGCGGGGGTCCTCTGGGGGGTTGGCGCTGGTGGTGGTAGTAGATAAGGGAAAAGAAAATCTGGTTCAGTCTTATCCTCAAAGTTTACAAAGTTAAAGCTCTGGAATGATGCATGATTCAGGGCTGAGTGAGGCGCGTCCGACAGCAGGGGGCCAAAAGTTGTGCGGAAGTTTCGTGAGATTTTCCAATTTTGAATATAGTATTACTTATCCCGGTATAAGAGTAAAATTTTATACAACATCTGCTTTTTAGAGCTTATCTTAAAGTTTGACAGTGTTCTATATTGTTTTTTTTTCTTTTGTTCTGTAAAGTTATGTTTGTACATGCTTTGGAATAAGCATCTCCCACATATTAAAGGGTACCTAGCATTATTTTATTTATTTTTGTTCATTACCATTGTTGGTATATTATCTATTACCAATGTTGGTATTAATTGTTGTTACAATGTAAATGTCCTTGTTGCCCGTGGTAACGCCATCATGATATAACACTGTAAAATAATGCTTAAACAAAGTAACAGTTGATAGTTTAATCACTGAATGGGGATAAAGGGGTGGGATTAAATTTGTTTTTTTCTTCTTCCCGCTCCTTTTAGGCAGAATTATACGGCCATGTTTATTCCGTACATTTATTGTTTATACTGTTTTTTGTTTCTTGTGTGTTTTGTCTGTGTGTTTTTTGCATTATATTATTTATATTATTTAACTGCATTTAATTACCTTGCTTACTCACCTGTGCCATTGCCTGAATTAAATGAATACATGAAAAAATGAATGAAAACCACAAATCTTTTACCTAAATGTTAAAATGCATGCTCTTTTAGACAGAAATGCATAAAATAGTGCCTTTTTTTTCAAGAATTGAACAACTGTGTATTCCAATAAGATAAAAGCACAACATTTTGCTTTTACAGGACTCTCTCTGTTGGGACTCTGTTGTAATATTTACGAGAAAAAGAGAAGTTAGGTACTCTTGCTTCAACCTCTAAATGATGTGTCCACTTTTGGCATCTTCATCCCCCAGTTCTCACTCGTCTTCACACCAAAACATTCCACACTGGCCTAAATAAATGACTGAAAAACTCCATACATTCATCCCATATCTACCTGAGCGAAGGCGTTCTGATTGCAACGCCAATAATACCGAATGCATAGGCTGAGCTGTCTATCAAACTCCCGGCTCTTGACTTTCTCTTCTCCGCAGAAAGAAGAATGCATTTTTCATGAGCTCTGGAATCGAAGAGCGCTCCTTATATCGCTCTTTGTTTTGCACTGTCAATATCCAGCTTTTTTTTTCATTGGCTGATCATTTTGTGAAAATATAGTTTTTAACCCACAGTTGTCATTATATACAGGCACAATGTTTGTAGATGGCGCTCTATATTGTCTAAAGCCATATGGACGTTTCACACTTAAAGCTTTTGTGTTCAGTAAAATGGTCTGATGTTGGTGTTCGCTATCCATATGATTTGAATTTAGATTTATTCAGTGGTGATTTCCAAACCCTGTGTCTCTTAGGATGGTTAGCTTATGATTCAATTACATATATTTTGTGTTATCTGAATTACTTTATCTCCCAGAGACAAAGTTGTGAGTTTGCCAACACAGATCAAGGAATCGAACAGCCCAACGCAGGAATTTCAATGATAAAATAAGCCATTGGTCCATAAGAGGCAGATGAGACATAAGTGTTAATGGACAAAAACATAAATGCAATTGAATGTCCTGGATCCTCACCGCTTATACATTCGACCAGAATTATCACAAAGATGGGGGGGTAACAGGGCTCCAGAGTGCAACCCGTTTGTACGCACCTGCAAAGAAAAACCTGCAGAAAGAGGGCAGCCCTGGTCCGTTCTGTCTCACGGATTGAAAATGATCTGAATGGAAATGTGCAGGCGCGGGTATAGCACTCAGCCCTCCCCTCACACTGTAAACCCTGACAAGTAAAGTTTACTTGAAAAAACCTTGGAAATAAATTGCATATTAACTTCACTTAAATTCTTCAAGTACATCCTTTACTTGATATTACCAAGTAAACTCAAGTGATTGCGTCAAAGTTTAAATTTCAACTTCTGCTCCGACCGGGATTCGTACTTACAACTTTGTGGTTGAGAGGTGAAGGTGCTACCCACTCAGCCACCAGACCACCCTGCCTTTGCCACACCTGCCTCATTTAAGACTCTACACGTCAAAATGTCAAAAGTGAGACTTGAATAGAGAGTTCAATTTAAAGAAAATCCTGAGTGATATTGCCAAGCTTTAAATAAACTAACAATAAACGAGTAATATTTACTTACTGGGAAAAGTCTATTTAAAATAACTTTGATATCTGAAGTACGATTGAAGTTAGGGTTTACAGTGCACATGGAGTTTACATGTGTCTCCCTATGACTGTGGGTGAGTGACTGATGCTTGTGGGAGGGGCCAATGGCACGGCCCGGAGCCTCACTTCTGTCACCAGTGTGCAGTGTGTAGCTTTATAACAAGGTAGTTGAAAGCCCTTTGAGGTGCATTGTGTATGAACAAATAAACTCACCTGCTTTGCCTTAGTGACTTCAGTGTCGCGGTTTGAGAGACTTCAGATTCAGATTCATTTATTTGCCATTTGCAGTAAAACCACATTGGAATACATTTGCAAAAGTACACACATAAAACAAGGTTAAAAGTACAGAAATAAAACTAACAAAACAGTAAATAATTGACACTGTGAAATCGATCGACTAAAACTGTTTCAATTCAAGTGCAAGATTATTGAGTGAAGAGAAATGAAGTGCTCTGTTTGAACTGAAAACATCTTGTGGAAAAACGAGATGTCCTGCATCTCAATGAACAATGTTTTCTGCCAGAGGGAAGAAGCTGGAACATGGTTTTTCCAGGGTGGCCAGAAGAGTCATTGATTATTCCACAGCTCAATGACTCCTCAGCAAGCCTGTAAAGAAAAAAAAATGGTATCAGCAGCAATGTCTCCTTGATACAAACATCTATACATGTGGTAATTATTTCTTTGTTGCTTGTTCATCCAGAACTTCTAAAGGTTGTTTAGATTAAGTTGATAATGATGAAATGGATTTTATATGTAAAAAAAAAAAAAACAGCCGTGGAGCCAGGACCAGAGCACTAACCAGAGGAGACTGTAATATACAAAGGCGCAGGACTAAATTCAGCCAAATGGTGGCGCTCATCAGGGCCACAACATTATGGAACACTTTGCCAGAACACATATGAAACTGTGAGACCCACCAAACATTTAAAGGAGTCCTCAAACATTGGTTGAAATCAAACCAGTCATGCTCCCATAGATCTCTCTTCCTTGGGCTTTCTCTTTCTCTCCTCTTTTAAATTCTGTCTCGCTTGTCGACTTATTGTTTGCACTTTTACTAACTGTGTGTTTGTGTGTTTCTTACCTGCCAAGGACAATGGATGCAATTAAGCTATTGTGCTAATTCCAGCATATTTACTCTATGTTGATGCTGTTTGCAGACACATTGATGAATATGTACTGTCCTATATTCTGTCTAAAACTGTGAGATTATTATTCTTTGCTTCATAATGTGTCCTTAAACAAATTGATACAGTAAACACATAGAAAGTTAACTTGTAGTGTTTTTAAGTTCCTTTCGTTTTCTATCTCCAGGCACAGGACCCTCAGGTGTTGGAGCAGCTGTCCAAAAACATCACTCGCATGGGTCTGACCAACTTCACCCTCAACTACCTCAGGGTAAGACTCAAATGTCAGCGAAATGTTTCCATGTGACAGACCCTCTGACTGTCAATATCCAGCTCTGTTTTATATTAGTGCTGACAGGATGATGAACAATTATGGCAGTGTGTAGGACCGTGTTTGTACTTCTGTGGGATGTGCTCTGTAGAGGTAGAACAAGCCACAGTATTAAGGCAAAATTCTCCCTTTTCTCTTGTTTTAGATAAAAATTCGGAATACTTTATTAGCGTTCTTATTTAAAGTTAGCATTCCTCCAGTGGATTTACGCTTGATCGGCTTGTTTCGGACTGTGAATCCTCCCTGCTCTGCTCTGGATCAGTGTCAAATCACTTGCTGTACTCCAGTTACAATTATAGCTTGAAAAAGGCAAGAAAAATAGGTATTTTAATGCACAAAACAACAACTGTTTCAGAGCTACTCCAGACTTGCCGCCGTTTCCAGCTCATTGAAAAGTGAACATGTAGCATAATTGTTTCCTCATCGACAACAGACTGAGGACTATGCTATTTACCACTTCTGCCATAAAGCTGGGGTACCTACATTTTAATCCATAAAAAACTGTACGTCATCAAATCACTCCTCACTCTTAAAACAGTTCTGTTCAATCACACAACTTTAGTTGAGATATACAAAATGTGTCAAGAAAAAGTTTCATACCCCATGTTTAAGAAATGATTTTATGATCATAAAAGGCCAAATTAAAACTTCTCAAAATCACATTTAAGGCAATAAATTGCTTCAGTGTGAGTCGCTATCTACTGGTGAAAGGGTGAAGGAGTTGAATAACAAATTGGCTGCATGGCTGTTGTCATGGGAAACAAATAAAAAGGCCAATTCAAGTTTAAAGTGATATTACTCTATAGAAAAGCTGAATTCTCACTGATTCATGCCTCTTTATGTAATCCTGCATTAGCTAGCAACTACTTCTCCTGACTCACTCCTTACACCCTCCACACACACTTTAAAAATAGAATATCACTCAAAAGTCCACGGGTTTCAACTTAAATTGTGAAACCATTAAATGATATAAACTCATTCATTAAATGCGAAGTAACACATGCCAAGCCTTTTTTGTTATCATTTTGATCATTATGGCTTACTGTCCATTTTTATACTACTCTAATTCTCTGAGATGTTCTCTGTGGGACTTTTACAAACGCTGAGCCGATTATCAACATTATAACATTTGCATTGTTAACAAAGGCAGCAGAGTCTCGTTTCTGGTGGTGAGCCATGTGATTGTTTACCATGAAAAGGTTTGCCATGGCTCAAAAAGGTTGAGGAACACTGCGTTGGTTATGACCGACATTTAGAAATGTGTTGTAAAAATAGAAAATCCAGCCGAGCCTTTGCTTTTTCAAAATTCAATCAATCTTTTGTATATTACGTTTATTTTCCCTTTTTGGCGCCACATATTCTTCATCGCGCTGAACATAATTTCTTCCATACCTTACACGCGGCGCTCTGAGGTCGTGCATGCATTATCCCAGTGCGCTATTGTTTGGATTTTGCGGTGCCACACTTGACTGACGGCTCCGCTTTCCCAAACAGGGGGGTGCGAACGCCGGAGCAAGAGACGGCACGAGCGCAGGAATTAATTGGATACAGAAAATTAGCATAACATTAATGAAAGTTCCCTGCAGAGACTCATAATTGTGAAATGGCGCGCGAACCTCGGCTGCTTATAATAAGAGGGAGAAGCAGGAGCGGGGCCGGGGGTGAGTGGGGGTCTGCCTGGTTTTGTTTTCTACCAACAATGATTTTTTTCTCCTTTTTATGAAAGAAAGTGTTGTCAGCGTACGATAAAGCACATAATTCCAATATTTGTAATTACACGCTAAAGATTGTGATTGCGCGCTGGATGGTTAATTCTCTATAGAGACAAGCACAAAGCAAGATGTTTGGCCATGTTTGTACACACAGGATTGTTTCTGTCTGCGATGAAGGAAATTACGTTAAAGGGGACGTAGGATGTAAACGCTGCTCCACAGTCGTCACCTCTAAAAAAAATTCAACCTGCTGGCAATAGCAGATGTATTTTGAACTTCATAATCCACAAGCTATATATCATTTTAAAGCTTATTTTCTCAGCTATATTTATGTGTAAGTGTAAACTATATCAGACTTTGCATTAAAAAGATATAACGCATAATATGGGCACAAAATAAATCACGTTTGTATAAGTTTCTTACCTTTCGCCTTCTGCTGCTCCAACAAATTAGACTTTCCCCATCCTTGCTTAAGTCTAATTTTAGGTACAACCTGCCAGCAGGTTGAATTTTTTTTAGAGGTGACGACTGTGGAGCAGCGTTTACATCCTACGTCCCCTTTAACGTAATTTCCTTCATCGCAGACAGAAACAATCCTGTGTGTACAAACATGGCCAAACATCTTGCTTTGTGCTTGTCTCTATAGAGAATTAACCATCCAGCGCGCAATCACAATCTTTAGCGTGTAATTACAAATATTGGAATTATGTGCTTTATCGTAGATGTAGCAGATGTATTTTGAACTTCATAATCCACAAGCTATATATCATTTTAAAGCTTATTTTCTCAGCTATATTTATGTGTAAGTGTAAACTATATCAGACTTTGCATTAAAAAGATATAACGCATAATATGGGCACAAAATAAATCACGTTTGTATAAGTTTCTTACCTTTCGCCTTCTGCTGCTCCAACAAATTAGACTTTCCCCATCCTTGCTTAAGTCTCTTTCTCTCCGTAAGTCTTCAGTGAAAAAGAATATCCACTTGTATTTCCCAAAGTATAATCCATTCTTCAGGCCCGAATGTGAATTTAGTTTTACCACTGAAGCTTGGAGCAGGGACCAGCCAAACTTGGAAGAATACATACAAATGATGTATTGTATGTGTATGTGTTAAAATCCCTTATTGGGACGGGCATTGCAAATTATACTAAAAATGTTGTAGTATTTCACATATTGATTGCGCACACTTGTCCCTATCAAATAAATAAGTTTACAGGTGTCCCATCATCAGGCCAGGAAACAGTCAGTGGGTGGATAGTAATGAACAGACTACAGCTGAAGGCATAATGACGACAGATAAAGGAGGAGAGAGAGGGGGGGATAGTGCCCGACAGTGTTGTACCAGTTCACAGCTTTTCTGAACTAGTTCAAGTTCAGTTCATACATGCTCAAAGTGAACAGTTCACGTTCAAAGTTCACATTTTTAATTCTGAACTAGTTCAAAGTTCAGTTCATTTTACTTTTTTCGTGAGATACTTAAATACATATGTTTTTCACACTACGAGCTATATATATATATATATCTCCTGTACACCCACAGGAGGAGAGCCTTTTGACTACAAAACAGACAAGATTTACAGTACATGGTTTTCAATGGGAGCAAAACGGAGTTGCCCCATCTCTGCTCATAAACTACAGACAGTAATGCGCTGCAGTGCGTGTGTCTATACTTTATGTCAAATGTAAACTGTGTAAACTTTGTCGCTAACTCACCCTGTGTTTTCATGACTCGGGCACATGTGAAAAGCACCAGCTCACAGCGCCGCACCGCAACACGGAGTCGGGGTGCGTTCACAGACGGTGGAAACCGTAGGAATTTTTAGATTTCGGCGGAAAAAGTGCGAGAATACAGGAGGGAGGAACTTTCTCTCGTTGCGTTTCAAAAGAGAAAACCGATTCCAACGTTCATAGTGATGTCTGCCGTTCATGACACATAAAATGAACTAATTCACGTTCAAGTTCTTTTTTTAAAAATGTGTTGCGTTCAGTTCAACGTTCACAAAAAAATTAACGTGTTCAATGAACGCGTTCTTTTGAACTCGTTGACGCACAACACTGGTGCCCAAGTTGCCCTACTTTCCTCTGCAGTAGAACGTTGTGGTCTATTGTGTCAAAGGCAGCAGAAGCAACACAGACACTAGTCCATTATCAGCAGATAGCAGTAAGTCAAGTGTAACTAGTGTTGTTTCAGTGCCATGATCAGTTCAGACCATTGGACTTCATCAACTATTTAAAAAAGACACAGCATTTTACTTAGTTACTTACTTTACACAAGTACATAGTATAAAAGCTTGTACTTTTACACTTTTAATTGAGTAAAAGTAGTGGCATTATTTCACTATTTTTCAGTTTGCCCTTGGTTTATACACTGTAGTAGTTTGTTTGATTGTCACACATAGATTATAATAATAGGATATACATACAATTACTTATGTATACATTGAGAAAGACTAAAATGTTGAGTTAAAATGACTTTAATTGCAAATATGGGTTTTTGATGTTGTAGATTTGACAGATAATATTTTGTAACAATGACTTTTGCTAAATTATTTCACACAAAACAAAAATATCTGTTTTTCATCATGATAACTCATTGACTCTTGTATTTGCAGTTTCAACTCCAAATGTGACTGTTTCTTATTTTAAATGTACCTAAAAAGCCATTCTTTAACTTAGTGTAAACAAAGTGTTGATCTGTCTCTGGGTCTGAGGGGCTTTTGTCCTGTTATCTTCTCTCTCCTCTGTTACGCCACAAAAATACCTCTGACTGCAAATGATATTTTCCTTGTCCGTTATCACCGGCTGTCAAGGCACAAATACACCCTTTTTCCTCACCAATAATACGCTTATTTTCTCACAACCGCTCCCACTCCAGCTCTGTCCAAAAACCCACATCCAGAAAGTTACAGGGACTTTTGAGAACACTATCTTTTCAGACTATTTAAAGTTTAAACATAAAAACAACACATGAAGGAGTTTCACTGCATAAGCTTTTTAAAATGATCTTCTAAAAATGTCGTTCTCACTTCGTTGATTTGATTTACTTCCTCATAAAAGGATCTACGTGTGAATTTGGAAGTGGCATTAAGATCAAAATGATAATAAAACAATAAAATAAAATATCAAAAGTTAAATATTATTTATATATTATCTTTTATAATTGTCCAATAACATCTAACGGGTGATGCATTTATTTATTTTCATGTGGATTCAGCATTCAGACAG